AAATATTTATCTACTTCTGATTTGTCCCTGTTCCTCTGGTATGACTTCCCTGGGATTTTCTTTGAGAACTGGTGGTTATTTATCTCTTAAGTCCTCAAAAAAGATTCAGTTCTCACCATCAGAAGTTTCCAGCCCAACTCTCAAGTCTCCAACCCCATGCAGCTTCAACTCTGGTAAATGTCCCGAAGGGAAAACACATGCTTGAGGCAGACCCCTTTCCCATGATTACTCTTTATTTTCTGAGTGTGGTGACTCATGCCTGTAATCCCAGCACTTTGGGAGGCCAAGACAAGAGAATTGCTTGAGCCCATAAGTTTGAGACCTGCCTAGGCAGCATTGTGAGACCTCATCTCAACAAAAAATAAAAAAAATTAGCGGGGCATGGTGGCATGTACCTGTAGCCCCAGTTACTCAGGAGGCTGAGGTGGAAGGATTGTATGAGCCCAGAAAACTGAGGCTATGGTAAGCTGTGATGGTGCCACTGCACTCCAGCTGGAGCAACAGAGAGAGACTCCAACTCAAAAAACAAGTCTTTGTTTTCTGAGCATCATGAGACTATAGGAGGATTCACAGTGCCTTTTAGAAGCTTCTGGTGAGGTTTGCCAGCCTCCCACACAACTTTTGAACCTAGCAAATGCCTTTTTGAAAATTTGTCATGTATTTGAGGTCCCTTAAGTTTTTCACATGCCATTATAGTCCCACGTGACCTTTACACATTTTGTTAATTTCTCCTTTCTTTGGCAATTGGTTCTTTTCTTGGGCAGATCATAACCCATATACAAAACTGGCAACTGTCTGCAGAGAAAAAGGTGGCTGGCTGTTCTCTTCTCACTTCAGGAAGGTTATCTCCTGTCTGGATTTTTGCTTCCATATCTCTCTGACTCATTTAACAATATGATTTTTGTAATTTAGCTGGCTTTTGCTAGTTGTAGCAGGAACAATGTTTCCCTCTGTGTACTCAGAAGTGGGAATAGAATTCTATATATCATATTTCAACAAAAATTTTCACCATAATACTTTGGGTTATATTGGATTTTGCTGGCACCAGCCTCCTTACTTAGAAATTCACCCTTCCCCCCACCCCAAGTGCTTTTCTAGTGAGGCAAGCAGTTTAGTTTTCCCTGTCCCAACTCTGACCTCAGCAATGGGGTGTGTGTTATTTAGGCCCAGAAAAATCACAGCGCTTCATTCCCTTGGAAACAGCGACAGTACTAGGATTAGCACATGACCCCCATGAGGCTATTAGTGTCTTTCCTACAATTGAAATAGAATTGTTAGTTGGAACAAGTATTCTTTCCACTGAGAAGGTATGAGTTTAGGGATTTCAGCTGTGATTGTGGGGGGCAGATAAGATTATCCACAGGGAAAAAAAAAAGTAAAGCAAGCAGAGATGTTTGTGTATGCATAGGGGTGTGTGTGTGTGTGTGTGTGTGTGTGTGTGTGTGTGTGTGTGTGTGAGATGCATGAAAGAAAGGAGGGGAGAGACAGAGAGAGAAGAGGGAGGGAGAAAGAGATAGAGATCACAAGAAAGTGACCTAGGCCAACTTGCATAAAGAAAACTAACAAATTCCCTTTTTGTTTAAGCTCCTTTAAGTTTTTACCACTTGCAAAATGTTTAAAGTTCTGATAAATAGGCTGAAATTATACCAGATTTTTATGTTAAAAAGAGAGATGAAATAATATAGCCAAGATCACCCATTCAGCAATTGTTGGACTAGATTAGAACCTAAGTGGGCCTGACGCTGAAGTCCCTGCTTCTCCTGCAACACCATGCTGCCTCCACCCCTGATTCCAAGGAAGCTAAGCCTTAACCTGACAGGCTCAACTTGTCCCAGGTTCTCCCAGCTCTTGGGTTACCAGTACTTGCTGACACTTGCTAGGAAGTTTCTTAGAAAGTAGAGATAGGGGAAGGGCATGCCTCACAGAAGAAGGGACATTGTGCCTGTCCAAGTTCTACTTCTTGGACATCATGAAGTTTGCTTGTGGACATGATCATCAATCATCCATCTGTGCTGACCACCCCAGAGGAGGTACAGTGGACTGAATAGAAGATAGACATCTGTTCACACCCTCTGTGCCCTCTCAGCCTGATAGATATTAACCTTTTATTTGACATTTGCGTTCTGATCACGTAGTTCTTCTCCACTTGTCTTTTATGAAATCCTCATGATGTAGCTTGGACAGTGAGAGGAAGTGTAGAAACATGGTTGAGAGCATGCATTCAGACACCAGACCATCCTGGTGTGAATCCTGGCTCTGCCACTTATTTTTATCACCTCAGACAAGCTACAGTCTTGTGTCATTAACACAGAGTTACCCTTGAATAAAGTATTTGCAGAAGATGAGACAGAAAAGAATCACAAAAGATTCATCAGAAATAATTATGGTCCATGTAAAAGTTGGTAGGAAAAGTTAGTTTCACCTCTATGCCTTTAAGAATGACCAATTAGCCGGGCATGGTGGCTCACACCTATAATCCCAATACTTTGGGAGGCCAAGGTGAGACGATTGCCTGAGCCCACAGGTTCAAGACCAGCCTGGGCAACTTGGTGAAACCTCATTTCTACTACAAATTTTTTTTAAAAATTAGCCAGGCATGGTGGCACAAGCCTGTAGTTCCAGCTACTTGGAAGGCTGAGGCGGAAGGATCACCTGAGCTCAGCAGGTTGAGGCTACAGCAGGGGTCCTCAAACTACGGCCTGCGGGCCACAGGTGGCCCGCTGAGGACATTTATTCCCATTTTGTTTTTTCACTTCAAAATAAGATATGTGCAATGTGCATAGGAATTTGTTCATAGTTTTTTTTTTTGACTATAGTCCGCCCCTCCAACAGTCTGAGAGACAGTGAACTGGCCCCCTGTTTTAAAAGTTTGAGGACCCCTGGGCTACAGTGTCCATGAGCATGCCACTGCACTCCAGCCTGGGCGACAGAATGAGACTCTGACTCAAAAAAATAAAAGAATGACCAATTAAAACCAAGCACAGTGGCCCATACCTGTAATCCCAGCACTTTAGGAGACAGAGGTGAAAGGATTCCCTGACCCCAGGGGTTCAAGACCAGCCTGGGTAACTTGGAGAGACCTCGTCTCTACAAAAAAAATTTTTTTAAATAACCAGGTGTGGTGGTGTGTTCCTGTTGTTCCAGTTACTTGGAAGGCTGGGGCAGAAGGACTGCCTGAGCCCAGCAGGTCGAGGCTGCAGTAGCCATGAGCATGAGTGCCACTACACTCCAGTTTGGATGACAGAGTGAGACTCTGACTCAAAAAAAAAATGATCATTAAATATATAATCACTAACATTTTAGGAGATGAGGATAAGGTTTACACAGAAAGTAGAAAAAGAAACCTAAGACGATCTATTGTCCATAGCCTCCAATTTGTTTATGCTTCCCTGTATCCACTTGGATAATTCCTTATCACTTTAACTTTGGGCTTGGCAATTCGACTTGCTTCAGTCAATGGGCCAATAGTAAATATGATTCAAGTAGAGACTTAAAAATCAACTGCCTATCGAAATGTTCTCTCTTGCTTTCAGGTAACAATGTGACTATTACCATGTGAATAAGCCTGGTTATACAGCTGAAGAATGAGAGGTCTCACCGAGAGAGACCTCAGACAAACCAAGTTAGTCCATAGTAAACCAGCCAGCCCCAACCCAAACCACCAGCTAACTATAGCTACACGAACCACTCTAGCCCAACATGAGTCCAGCCCATAAGAGCCACTTAGTTGAACTCATCCCAAATTGCTAAATCTTAGAATCATGAGCGAAGTAAACAGCTACTTTATAAGCCACTAAGATCTAGGGTTGATTGGTCATGCAACAATAGATAACTGACTGTGACCTATTCTGTGGCTCCACAGACACATGGCCATGAAGGCATATGCTTCAACCATGTATGTTGGGTTCCTGGTCCTATGGACATTTCAATGGGAGACTCCTGGCTTAAAGAATTGGAGACTACACTTCAAAAAAAGTAACATTAAAGATGGGTATGATACCCACTCTGTGCAGCATTGGCTCTTAGAAGTGAAAGGCTAGAAATTGATACTGTGTCTATAGTAACTTCCCAGAATCAGTCATCCCCGCAATAATGCTCCCTAAGTAGGTTGCAAGGTTTAATGTGTTAACATTAAACCATTTCTGGCCAGCTCGGTGGCTCAGCCTGTAATCCCACACTTTGGGAGGCTGAGGTGAGTGGACTGCCTGAGCCCGCAGGTTCGAGACCCACCTGGGCAACTTGGCGAGACCTCATCTCTACAATAAATCAAAAAATTAGCCGGGTGTGGTAGCACTCGCCTGTAGTTCCAGCTACTTGGAAGGCTGAGGCAGAAGGACCGCCAGAGCCCAGCAGGTCGAGGCTGCGGTGGCCAGGAGACAGAGTGAGACTCCAACTCAAAAAAAAAAAACAAAAACACATCTGGAGGAGACCTAGCAGAATTGTGCAGGTAACGCGAAATACTTTTTTGCCTTTTCCTCAACCACTTGTTGAGGAGAAAATAGGTAGGGGTGACTTTTCAGAGACAACTAAGATTTTATCAAGCCAAGAATAATTGGAAGACTCAACATCCCCCTCCTCCTCTCAGTTCCCCTGGAGGATTGTAGAAAAACATTCTAGAAGAGATTCTGGTTCTGACCAACAATGAAGTGAGCAGTTGCTCACGGCAGAGAAAAAACACATAATCCACCCCTGAAAACATCGTTGTAGACCAAACACATACTCTCTCCTTCCAGAAACAGCAGTAGGGGAAGATGACCTTAAAAGGAAGAAGCTGACAACTGGGTTGCACAGTTCAACTCAAGAAAAGAATCTCAGAGAAGGCAGGTGGATTCTTGTATTCTTGGAAAGTTTATTTAACAGCAAAAGCGATGGACCCACTGTGGCTTTGATGCCAGCTTTGCCCCATGAATGGTTCATGAGTGGCTGGGATCAGGCAGCTTCTGGCATGTCACTTACGAGAAAAGACAAAGGTTTTTCCCAGTTTCTGGCATCAGCAGAGCTTAGGTGACTTGATCCACAGCAGTGTTTTCTGAGTTTTCTTTTTTTAGAGAGGGTGGACTTGCTGGAAGGGTCATTGAGTCGACAGAGGAATGGTTCTCACTGATGGGAACAAAAGCATTGTTAGAAGCTAGAGGAGTGTGCCCTGGGTGCTGGGTGACAGGGCTGGAGGACAGAATCTTGTTCTCAGCTTCCATCTGAAGACCCAAGTTACCCATCCCAAGGTGAGTGCCCACCTTAGAAATCAAATTTTCCCATCTTAAAGTCATAGCCTGGCCTTCAGTGGTGACTGACATCTTTCTGGAGGGGATAATTACCTTTTCAAGTGTCCTTCTAGGGGCCATTGTCTTCTTTCTAAGGGTCTCCATCTGAAGATGCACAGGGGTCATGGCCTTCTTTTCAAGGGTCACAGACTGATGACCCACAGGGGTTATGGTCTTCTCTCCAGAGGTCACAGACTGAGGACCCACAGAGGTTATGGTCGTCTCTTCAGGGATGACAGAATGATGACCCACAGAGGCCATGGTCTTCACCCCGGGGGTCACAGACAGAGGACCCACAGAGGTTATGGCTGTCTCTTCAGGAGTGACAGACTGATGACTCGCAGAGGCCATGGTCTTCACCCCAGGGGTCACAAACTGATGTCCCACAGAGGTCATGGTCTTTGTCCCAGGGGTCACAGACTGATAACCCACAGAGGTCATTGTCTTCACCCCAGGAGTCACAGACTGATGACCCACAGAGATCATGGTCTTCACCCTAGGGGTCATAGGCTGGTGACCCCCAGAAGTCATGGTTTTCATGCCAGGGGTCACAGACTGATGACCCACAGAGATCATGGTCTTCACCCTAGGGGTCATAGGCTGGTGACCCCCAGAAGTCATGGTTTTCATGCCAGGGGTCACAGACTGATGACCCACAGAGGTCATGGTCTTCACCCCAGGGGTCTCAGTCTTCTCTCCAAGAGCTACAATGTGCTTTCCAAGGGATACGGTTTCCCCTCTAGGGGTCACAGTTCTGCTTCTGGGGATTGTAGTCATCTTTTCATACGTTCCATGGATCTCAGTGGCCATAGCCTCTCCTCCTGGGGGCAAAATCTTAGTATCAGTGGTCAATGTCTTGCTCACTGCCGGCCTTTCAGGGTCAGTGCTTGAAGAATTCACAGCAGATGAGAACCAAAATTGTGAAGGAGTTGAGCTGACCTCTAGAGAAAATCATCAAAAAAGGATGAGATACCCACCATCTCCTTCCCACCCTACTAATTCCTGGCAGGTCTAAGAACCACTCAAGGGTTAGAACACATGCTCCGAAAGTCCAGAATGAAAGATTTCATAATGTTCCCACTTGAGGACATGGATGAAATCCCACTACATGGAAGCCCTGCTTCCCTGTCCCATTGTGTTTGCATAGCCCCAGGAATCCATGGCACCAGTGGGTTTGATACATTTCTGGTGAATGACCCCAGTTAGTGGCCTACCAGCATCCTTTGACCTCTCTGATTGCATCATCAGCAAGACCTTGCCTCCAAGGCTTAATTCCCTGCTGGATGAATCCTCAAGGAGAAGCTGCCTGTTCTCAAACTTGTAGGAGACACCAGGAACAAAGCCAAGGATAAAAAGGTTTGAGACACTATGCTATAAACAACTGGGTTGGAGTCCACCTAAACAGCTATAATCCTAGCATTTTGGGAGGCCGAAGCAGGAGGATTGCTTGAGCCCAGGAGTTCAAGACCAGCCTGGGCAACACAGCAAGACCTCATCTCTAAAAAAAAAATTACCTGGGCATGGTGGTATACACCTGTAGTACCAGCTACTGGGGAGGCTGAGGCAAAAGGATCATCTGAACCTAGGAGATGGAGGTTGCTGTTAGCCATGTTCATGCCACTGCACTCTAGCCTGGGTGACAGAGTGAGACTCCAACTAAAAAAAATTAAAATTAAAAATAAATAAATAAAGATGAGACCTGACAGAGTCCCGGTGTTGTTATCCTTAAAATGAGGATTCTAAGCCATCTCTAAGGATGTTTCAGCTCTTGAATGCTGGGTTTCACCTCCTAACTGCCAGGGCAGCCGCTATTATCAAAAAGAAACATTTTAAAAGAACCCAAAAAACAAAATTTCCTTTCTAGCCCTTGCCTATAAAAGCAGAAGAAAGAAACAGAAATAAACAAACACTGAGTGCTAACTATGAGCCAGTGTGGTTTTCATTCCATGTATCATTTAGTTCTTATAATAATGTCATGAGAGTAAGGATCATTCCCAATGTACAGATAGGCAAAGTAAGCTCAAAGAGGTCGATTAAAAGCCAAGTGTCTCAACCAAGATTAGAAAATATACTGATCTGACAAAGTTTATTCTCTTCCCTCAGTGCTGTGTTGCCTCACCAAAGCATTTAGATCCAGCAGAAGGGACCCACCCAGTGCCTGGTTATGCAACTTCCAACCCCATCTCCCTGGTCATAGATACTTACCAGCCTGCACCAGGATATCATTCAATACGTGGACAAGGGGGAAAGGGCCAGTGCCACAGAAAGTACCCTTGGCATCATCCAGGTCCAATGTCCACACCATGGCACCTCCAAAATGCTCTCTCTTTACAAACCATGCCTGTAAAAGTAACAGTCAGTCCACTTGCTTTGCTGGCCATCCCTCCAACTGGACACAATGGCAAAAAACAGAAGATGCCCCTCAGGAGGCAACGTAGCAGGGTGGTTAGGAGTATAGTCTGCATTTGAATCTAGCCTCTACCACTTATTAGCTATAAGATCCTGATAAAGTTTGTACTTTGGGAGGCAGAGGAGAATTTCTTGAGCTCAGGAGTTTGAGACCTGCCTAGGCAACATAGTGAGACCTTGTCTCTACAAGAAATAAAAATATTATCCAGGTGTGGTGGTGTATGCCTACAGTCTCAGCTACTCAGGACTCTGAGGTGGAAGAGATCACCAGAGCTCAGGAGATCGAGGCTGTGAGAAGCTGTGATCATGCTACTGCACTCCAGCCTGGACAGCAGAGTGAGATCCTGACTCCAAAAGTTATTTAACCCTTATGTGTTTTAACTGCCTGTTTTTTTTTTAAGGAATAATAACATTTCCAATGTTTTTAGGATCAAAAGAATTCCTACATGCACATATTGCAACATGGTTGAACCGTGCCATGTTATGTCTGTTTTATTTCACTTAGTATAATGGATGGTGGCGATGGTTGTACAACATTGTGAATGTAATTAATGCCACTGACGTGTAGACTTAAAAAATAGTTAAAATGGTAACTCCTATGTTACACTTTATGTTATGTAGGAATGCTACATAACTTCTTAAAGAGTTCCTAGACATAAAACATTTGGATCAATGCCTGGCACGTAGTTAATGTTCATAAATGTTAGCTGCTATTCCTCAGGGTTCCCCATTATCAACATCACAAACTATAGGGATTGCCTTATTATTTAAAATCACTTTCTTTTTTTTTTTCTTTTGAGTAGAGTCTCACTCTGTCGCCCAGACTGGAGTGCAGTGGCTGCTCCCGGCCACCGCAGCCTCGACCTGCTGGGCTCCGGCGATCCTTCCACCTTAGTCTTCCAAGTAGCTGGAACTACAGGCGCGCGCTACCACACCCGGCTAATTTTTTTGATTTATTGTAGAGATGAGGTCTCACCAAGTTGCCCAGGCAGGTCTCGAACCCACATGCTCAGGCAATCCACTCACCTCAGCCTCCCAAAGTGCGGGATTACAGGCTGAGCCACCGAGCCCGGCAAAAAATCACTTTCTTATCTCACAGTGATACTATAATGTACAAGTAAAGCAAATAATATTGTACTCTTTCTACAGATGAGAAAATAAAGACTTTCATATGCACTTTTTTTTGAGTTGGAGTCTCATTCTGTCGACCAGGCTGGAATGCCATGGCATTCTCATGGCGACCCCAGCATCGACCTGATGGGCTACAGCGATCCTTCCACCTCAGCCTTCTGATTTTTGATTTATTGTAGAGATGAGGTCTCGCCAAGTTGCCAGGGTTGGTCTCGAGCCCGCGGGTTCAGGCAATCCACTTGTCTCGGCCACTCAAAGTACTGGGATTACAGGCTGAGCCACCAAGTCCAGCCTCATCTACCCTTTTTAAAAACCTCCACTCTACCTAAATGACAGAGGTTTGTTTTTTTTTTAAGTTGGAGTCTCACTTTGTCGCCCAGGCTGGAGTGCAGTGGCACGCTCATTGCCACCGCAGCCTTGACTTGCTGGGCTCCGGCGATCCTCCCTCCTCAGCTTTCCAAGTAGCTGGAACCTCAGGTGCATACCATCACACCCAGCTAATTATTTTATTTATTGTAGAGACCAGGCCTCACCAAGTTACCCAAGCTGGTCTCGAACTCCTGGACTCAGGCAATCCTCTCGCCTTGGCCTCTCAAAGTACTGGGATTACAGGCTTGAGTCACTGCCCTCCGGCCAAAATGGCAGAGTTTAGACTCAAGTCCAGGCTATTACTACTTTGCCAGTGCTCTCTGTAGAGTCTGATGCAAAAGACTCCATCATGTCCAAAGAGCTGTATGACTTAGCCAAGTCAATTGACCTCTTTCTGGGATTGACTCTCCCCAAATGTAAAATAAAAGGAAGGAGGAATCCAATTAAGTCTGAAACTGAAGACTCTGAGATTTGACCCTGCTTATAAGCTAACAAGTTAGACTGCCAATTTTATATGCGTACACACACACACACACACACACACACACACACACACACACACACACCCCAGACCCCTGGATCAAAGGACAGAATGTCCTATTGAGCTGGTTCCATATCCCAACTACCCAAAGGGCAACTTGATGAAAGTCAGATGTTCTCCTGTTTGTACAGCAGAGTTTGTACCACAGAGAAGCGCCCTTCAATTATGAGACCCAGGAATTAGATAGGGTGGTTGGAATATCTGGTCCTTCTCCACTCAGAGAGAGGAGAGCATTTGGCTCTAGGATATAAACAGCTCCTCCTTGGGAACTTTCACAATAATTGAATATAAGCAAATGGTTCCAGGAAGGGGGAAAGAGGAAGTCAGCTCTCTACTCTTAGCTAACTTGTGTGCTTCCTTTGCTAGGATCACTCATATTGAACAAGAACACTGAGAAATACAGGTAATAATTATCTCCCAATAGTGCCCCCTGAAGTTTCTTTGAGCTCTGATATTCTATGACAAAATCCCTTAATGATCCCCAAGCTGGGCTCACGTCCACCCCCCTTCTGGTTCTGCAAGGGACAATGACTGCCCCGCAAAGCAAGCCCACCCTTTGCTGCTGGTCCCAGGCTCTTCCCTCAAGACATGGGGTCAATTCCCTCTCTGATGTCCTGTGGACAACATACTTAATTCCACTGAGTCACTGATCTCTTCTGCTTGTGTCTTCCTTTCCTAAACCACTGAGCAAGGTCCCAAAGGCTGAAAGCCAACTTTTTACCTCTCTCCTCCCCCAGGACCTCAGCTGGTGTCATGTGAAGAGGAAGGCATAGTGGCTGTTCGCAAGTGCCTTTCTAGAGCTTGTGCTTGCCACCCAAACTGCCCCAAAGAACAGCCAACACCTGCTATTGCCACATCACCCACAGTGGGAGAACTGGGAATTCTCTGTACTTATAAGCCTCAATATACAAGAAGTTGCCAAAGTGTGAAAATCTATCGCTCATAAACTGCTTCTCCTTCCATCCAGACCCTCGATATCTCATGCTTGGACACCTCTGTGCCTCTCAGAGTTTCGAAAACGCCAGCCTGGTTACAGCAAGATCACGTGAGAAGACACACAAAACCAGTTTCCAAGGTCTCTCTAAGACCTGCTGAAGAGATCCTTTTGTTGTTTATGAGCATGATGATTGGGTTTTCACACATATGCGTGAGATGTGCCACTCTTAAACCTTGTTATGACGTCGGTACATCACCTGTCTGACGGTAGAAGAAAAAATGCCCTACTGAATATTGAAGGGTATAACCAAGACTTCTACACTGATCAAGTCTCTCAGGTGATTACAAAACAGAAGTAGGTTTAGGAACCACTGGAACATGAAAGTTCTTCTTTAGTTCACTAGAAAAACCTGCCAGATTCAAATTCATAAAACACTACTTACATGAAGTTCTAAAGGTTTCAAAACTGCAAGTAACCCACCCATAGAAATCTGGTTTTGCCTTAAAATGCCCACGGGATAAAGACCAAACACCTTCACCAGTATTCAAGACTCTACTAAAAACCTCTGCTCCATCCAAATTCTCCTTAGAGCTTACTACAAGTGTTCTGCACCACTCCCCCACATCATCATCTTCTCTTCCTCCTTTTCACCTCCCTCAGGAAGCCCTCCTGATTTTCCCATCCCTGCCATGTGTCAGTCCTATTCATGGAGCACTTACCATGATCTACCATGTGTTGGCAATACCTGTCATGAAATTATCTGATCTAAATGGAAGAGATTGTCATCAAAAAGCTGCGTGAACTGAGAGAAATGTTTATTCCCTCAGAATTGAGATTCTTTCTCTTCAGAATAGAGATTTGGACTAGATGGGATTATGAAACTCTAGTTAGAACTAAAATTTAAGTAGGTTTGACGCTCACCTGAGTTCATCATCCTTACCTTTCACCCTCCACCCAATAGACAAGCATGAGTGCACACACACGCACACGCACGTGCGCGCGCACACACACACACACACACACACACACACACACACACACACGTTGCCAGACTAGGGCCCCGTGGAAGCCAGTGGAAGACTACATGCCAGACTGAGAAAGGACCAGGGTCTCACCTTGTAACTGAAGCTGATGGCATCATCGTATCCAACCCACTCCTTCCCCTTGTTGGCATAGGGGACATACTGATAATCAATCCAGTGCTTCTTCGCCCCCCGGACAAAGGAACAAATCTGCCGGGAGAACCACCGAGTCAATGTCAGAAATTGCCAAGGAGGGGAGCGTCAGGAGCCCCAGCTGCTCCTTGCCCCAGGATAAAGAACCTGAGAGGGTATGAGAAGAAAGCCCACCACAGAGAGCATGGGGAAGCCACTCCTGGAGGCACTCCTCTCCATGTTGAATAAATTCCCACTGTCACATGTTCCTGCTTCTAACGTCCATGATGGAAAAAGAGAAGACCGAGGCGTGGATACCATCCTTACAAAACCGAGCTGGGGTTAGTACTGAGAGGAACACACCTGACCTTTGATCAAAGCTGTGTCTCTTTCAAAGTGTTTCATAAACAAATCCCTCCTGTCCATTGGGCCTCAGCACAAACTGCCCTGTATAGGTAGTCATCAAACTAGCACTTGAACCTCCAATAGATGCAAAGATCTTGAAGACAGGGAGAACTAGGGTGTTACGATCGATCAAGCATCTATGGTCTACTGGATGTGTGGCATTGTGCAAGCTGTATGCTACAAAGAAACAGAGGTTCAAGGTGTTCTGCTGCAGAAGTTAATATCTAAGCCCTTCCTAGTCTCCTTTGGTGCTTTAAAGATCCTGCCATCAAAGCCTCTTTGACTCTAATGTCCTTCAAGAACATTGTTTCAACTACACCATCATGAATAACTATGCTCCACTGGATTATCAGGAAAATATCTCCATCCATCCAGCACAGAGCAGAGACTGGAGAGACATACCACACCTCCACTACTGCTGTCTGTCTGTCTGGCACGTCCTTCACACCTTGCGCCTTTGTACCTGCTACTCTCTGCCTGGGAAGACCTTCCCATCTTGTCAGTCCTGCCTATCAGAGTTTTCCTACACTCCAAACTCTTCTCAAAATCTACTGCTCCATAAGACCTTTCTGGATCCTGTAGCCACACACTCCTATGTCTTTTTTTTTTTTTTTTTTGAATCAGGGTCTCACTCTGTTGCCCAGATTGTAGTGCAGTGGTAAGATCATGGCTCATCGCAGCCGTAACCTCGTGGGCTCAGGTGATTCTCCCACCTCAACCTGCTGAGTAGCTGGGACTATAGGCACTTGCCACCATTCCTGGCTAATTTGTTTGTTTGTTTTTCTGGAGAGACAAGATCTTGCTATGTTGCCCAGGCTGATCTCGAACTCATGGGCTCAAGCAATTCTCCCACCTTGGCCCCCCGAAGTGCTATGATTACAGGCATGAGCCACTGCACTGAGCCTTGTGTGCCTCTTATTGTCTGTTGTGATGTGTTACATTCCCTTGAGTGCATGTCTTTTCCCTCCACTCAACAGCAAGCTTTGTTGAGATGGGGATACAGAGGGTGGAGCTGGGGTAAAGAGAAAGAATCTGCGTAGAAGATGTCATGGAATTGCTTCAAAATGACCTATAGTGAAAAGGGAGGGAGTCAGAGAGCAGAGATGAAACAAAATTGGCCATTAATTGTTAATGACTGAAGCTGAGTGAGTGGTGTGTGGTTGGGGTAGGGGAGTGCAGGTTATACTAATCTTTTGCACATGTGTGAAAAACATATATATAGCAAACATTAATGATTTTTATTTAGGCCATAGAGCAAATTAGGACTTACCTGTATAACATTTAAGAGCTTTTAATGGGTTGCAATGAAATCTTTCCATTCAGATTCCACTAAGCCCCTCCTCCCTTGCAAAATATTCAAATAGCACCCACACACAAAGAAAAAGAAAATATCCCAGATAGCAGATTTTCCTCATCCCAATAAACTACTTTTTTGCCCTGTCTCTAGTTCTCGCCTCGCCACTGCCTCTTGTACTGGTCTTCGTCCCAGCTGGAGGTGGGGGAGCCCTAACACTAGAGAGAGACCCCTGTCCTTATCACCTCATAATAAGCCAGGAAGCCAGCTTGCTTGGTGTATTTTCCTGGAGACGCCGGTCCCACTGCTCTGGCCTGCAACCCATTCTTAGAAGCTTTGAGGAGGTGAAAGGTACGTCCATAGGTGGGGAACCCCATGATGAGCTTCTCCGAGGGTGCCCCGAGCTTTCTCCAGTAATTCATAGCATACGCCTGCAGGTAGGAAGCACACAGGACACCTCCTTGTTACTAAGAGCCAATGGCCTGGGCTCAGGAGCAGATATCTGGGCCACCCGAGATCTTTCTTTTTCTTACCGCAGATTTGGGGTCTTCAGGCAGCGAGAACAGGGGGCTATTATGTCCTGTGAACTCTTCCCAGCTTCCATGTAAGTCATAAGACAAGACATTGATGAAATCCAGGAGTCTGTAAGGGGCAGGAGGAGGAGGCAAGACAGACTAGGCTAGCCAGATCACCACAGCATTAACGAGCTAACTAGCTGTGTGTTGGTCATCTGGGCTTCCCTGCTCCTTCTGCCTGTGGGATCTGCCCAGGCTGTGCTGTCTACCTGCCACTGGAACAAACTGCTGGTTAGAGATAGCTGTGCATCAGGATCTATGCATCCTGAGAGTGTCCATGGAGGTAAGCAGGAGTCAGACAAGAAAAAAAATGCATTCAGGCCTGATACAAATGCTAACAGAGGTCTGCACACATGTCACAAGTAAAAGCAGTACTGTGTCGTAGCAGTAAAAGAGCATCTCTCTGTCTTTCTACCATTCCAAGAGCCACTGAAACCCACCTCCTCCAGAAAACTTTCCTAATGACCAGGTGTGAATGAGCATGGAGGAGGTCACAGCTGTAAGGGTTTTCATGCTGATTATCTAACTTAATTTTAATCCAACTGGCACAAGAGCAGACCAATGGAACAGAATAGAGAATCCAGAAACAAACCCAAATGCCTACAACCCACTGATCTTTGACAAAGCAGACAAAAGCATACACTGGGGAAAGGACATCCTATGCAACAAATGGTGCTGGGAAAATTGGATAGCTACATGCAGAAAAACGAAACTCGATCCCTGGCTTCTCCCCACATACAAAAATCAACTTGAGATGGTTTAAAGACTTCAATGTCAGACTCGAAACATAAAAATCCTAGAAGAAACCCCAAGAAAAACTCTTCTGGACATTGTCCTAAGCGAAGAAATGTCTGACTAAAACCTGAAAAGAAAACGCAACAAATCAATCAATCAATCAGTGGGACTGAATTAACCACAAAGCCCCTGCACAGCAAAAGAAATAATCAATAGAACAAAGAGGCAAGGTACAGAATGGGAGAAGGTGTTTGCACACTATACAACTTTTGAACAGCCGCAGAGGATTCCATTCTGATTCTTCCGGTTTGTGAGAATCAGCCCAGAGCCAGCATGTCCAGAAAGACGTAGGCACTGGTCTTTGCCCAGCTTTTAACTTTTGCATGGAGACCTTCCCGGACACGGAGTGGGACTAGACATTTGCTTTTGTGGCAGCTGCTATGCGTTCGGCGCTCTGGTGCCAGCATCTGCTACAGAGTGGATGTCTACATCTCTTCTTGGGGTAGGAAGAAGTCGGTCGGGCCCCTGGATTCTCTCCTTGTGAGACCCAGCCAGGAACCGTGCAGAAGCCTCTCCGCCCGTGCCAACCTTGTTATGGGTGGCCGTCCCCTCACGTCCCTCCGATGTCTAAAGAAAACCTCCGGGTGCGACGGAGGTGGCCCTTGTCCCCACCCAGGCTCCTCAGCCCACCCGCAAGCTGGCCCTGACACCCGGGCAGGGGCACGGTGAGCTCAGACAGCGCTCGGGAAGCCCTGGGGATCCGAGTTCAAGGTGCCGCCTGCCCCGCGACGCCTGTGCCCACCCAGGCAGCATCCGCTCACCCTCCCAGCAGGCGCGCCTCGTAGGCGGTCTGGACGATGTGCGGGACCCCAGCGACCGCCGCCGAGAGCAGCAGCCTCGGGCGCCTGCTGAGCGCCGCCTCCTGCCGGAAGGCAAACAGGAGCTCCTGAAAAGACACGGGGACAGACGCGGAGATCGCGACACAGCGGGAGCGGCGGGTGGCGACTCCCCCCCGAGAAGTGTTTACTGAGCCCTGCGAGCCGGACGGGGGGGACCCGGGGGAGAGCCAGACGCGGGCCCCGCCCACAGGCTCGTGAGAAAGGCGGATGCGGCCGACACGGTCAATGATTTGACGGCGGGACGGCAGGCGGGCTGGGGGGCACAGGATTCGGATGAGCACTGCCGGGGGAGTCCTGCACGGAGAAGATACCCCTGAGGCCAGAGGGCTGGAGAGCGCCGCAGATGTAGGCAGAGAAAGCGGCAACTGCAGGGCACCTGCTCAGCACCCCTAGGGGGGTGGCAGTGAAAAAACAGTCTGTCAGCCCTCTCTCTCTCTCTCTCTCTCTCTCTTTTTTTTTTTAAATAAAGATGTGGGGTACAATTCAGGGTTAGGTATCCAAACGTTGATCATGCAGGTACCCCTGGTGATGAGGTATGTCCCTCCCTCCCCTCGCAGTTTCCCTCAACTGCCAATCCCACCCCCTCCCCCGACAGCTTCCCATTACTGCCAGCCTCTTTCTTATAGCATTATAATTGTTCAAGGTCCTCTTCTTATGAGTGAGGACATACGGAACGCTGTTCTTTTGGAGTCGATCATACTCAGTGATTTGTCACCCCTCTCTTGCCCCTGGCCCTGGCCTTCGGCTCTTCCCCTGCCGTGAACCCAGATACATAAATAGTGAATGATATCTGAATGTCTGGAGCTTCCCGGCTGGCCTTACTTCGATTAAGAAGAGGAAAGTCCACCGGTCACGCATGGGGCTGCCTCTTAGTCCAGGGTACAAGAAGAAGAGGTCGAGGCCGTCGAAGTTGTGTGTCCTCAGGAGGGATATAACCGAAGCGATGAACTTTTGACGGCTGGCGAATGTGGACAGCATCTTGGTGAATCTGCAGAGAGACCAGGGGGGTGAGGCAAAGACCGGCCTCCTCAGAATTACAGCATCCTGCAGGGCCCCTTGCGAGGTTAGCACCCTGTGACCAGCACAGCAGATGTGGCTGGAGGAGAGAAAGACAGATCTTTGAAACACTCACCCCTTTTTTTTTTTTTTTTTTTTTTTTTGAGTCAAGGTCTCATTCTGTCACCCAGGATAGGATAGAGTGCAATGGCACAATCTCGGCTCACCACGGCCTCGACCTCTTGGGCTCAGGTGATCCTTCCACCTCAGTCTCCCAAGTAGCTGGGACTACAGTTGTACACCACTACGCCTGGCTTATTTTTTAATTTTTTGTAAAGATAAGCTCTGAATATGTTGCTAAGGCTGGTCTCAGATTCCTGGGGTCAAGCGATCCTCCTGCCTCAGCCTCCCTAAGTTCTGGGATTACAGGTGTAGCCACTCACCCGCTTCTTAAATGCCCTTCCCAGCACCAGGGGCCAAATACCCAGAAGTGGGGAATTCAGACAGCAGAGGGGAAGTGAAAACCATGTAGTGCCCTGGCCAGATGGCACAGGGAGTGGCAGGCACAGAACTAAGCACACAGCCAGGAGTAGAGAGACTGGTTCCATCCAGCTCTGCCCCCCGCAAGACATAGTATGCCTGCTGGCAAGGAACAATGCCTCTCTCTGGCTCCTCAATTCCTAAGACCTGTCCTAGCACAGTCATTCTTTCTCTGACTGGATTGGGGGTGTGGGGAACATGAGCCAAGGGCTGGCACGTCCAGAAAGGTCTATGAGTTCACCCAGGCCTGGGCTGCAAAACTTGGCATAAGAAGCCTGAACTCTGATAAGGTGCTCTATCCCTCTGCTCTTTAGTTCATTTGCTTGTTTGATGTTTTTCTATTTTTATTTTTTCTTCCATAATAAAGACACTTCCAGAAACATTTTGGAGCTGAACTTTAAGCAATTCTGGACTAGTCCTGTGGTTCATGATTAGAAAATTAACCAGATTCAGAAATAGATTGTCCTGGGTTCCACTGTCAGCTTGCCACCTCCTAGCTGGGTGATCTCTGAGGGACACCTGGAAGGAATCTGGCAAGTTCCTTGGTACCTGTGACTCTTGCTTTGTTTCCTACCGATCTGGTCTACAAACAACCACTTGGCAGGCATCTTTCAAGTATTCACAAGAAAATGTGTGTGCAGTCCTAGCCCAGCATCTGGTTCACAGCAGATGTCAGAGAGAGGAAGAGAGCTGGGTATAGAGGTGTGTGGTCTCTGATCACACTGTTCACACACTGGCCTGTGATCCCAGCACTTGGGAGTCTGAGGTGAGAAGATAGCTTGAGCCCAAGAGTTCAAGACCAGCCTGGGCCACATAGCAAGATCTTGTCTCTACAAAATAAAAAATAAAATAAAATTAGCTGGGCATGGTGGTGCATGCCTGTAGTCCCAGCTACTTGGAAGGCTAAGCAGAAGGATCATCTCAGCCCAGGAGATGGAGGGTGTAGTGAGCTATGATTGTGCCACTGCACTCCAGCCTGGGCGACAGAGTGAGATTCCAATTCAGAGAGAGAGAGAGAGAGAGAGAGAGAGAGAGAGAAAGGAACTGGTTATCAAGCCACCCCAATCCTTCCTCCGTCATACATGGAGAGCCTTTGCAAGGTGTATCCTTACACACTCCCAGGCCACCAGGTCTCCCTTTCATGCACCACATGCCTCCAAGGCAAGAAGAGGGAAAGCGTGGCCTCTACCCCAGGCCTCAGCTGTGAAATAGGGGAAACATTTGTTCAGAAACCATGAAAGCAACTTGCCATCTCCACTCTGCCTCACCAGGGGTGAAGCGCTAACAAGAGCAGCCACATGTGGAACGTGTGGTTGCCAGGGTGGTACATGTTCAGCTCAGCATGTATTTGTTACTTCCTTTCTTCCAATACAAGCTCTTGAGGTTGATGTGACTGGCCCCATTTAGAACACGAGGAGACCAAAGCCCTGTGAGGTTTGGGGTTTATTTTTCTTGTCCTGCACAAGATTTCTCCTCTTGAAAACAAGAAGGTTGAGGGGACAATTGTGAGTGCCTCATAGGGTCTCTCACCCCCCACCCTGGGACCCTTTCTTACCATCTGCTGGAAGTTTCTTGATCCGCCTGTCCCCATGGAGAAGAGGTCAGGGTATCCCTGAATCCAGGGGTCAAGGATTCATAACTTGGGAAGTGTCTGCACTAGCTTTGCTGTCCACATGACCAAGCTGACTCTCCACTCCATCCTCACATCTCCCAGAGAGACTCTCCCTCGTCACCCTCCCAGAGAGAAGCAAAGTCTCACCTCAAGGTGCCAAAGTTCCACCCGCCGAGGGATAGCAACGTCGTCAGCTCCCTGTTCCTGTCATGAGGGACAGAGGGTGGGTAAGCAGCGGGCTTGCTCCTGCTGGCCACTGCAGTCACCATTCTTTTTGCTTTGTTCATTGGAGGAATAACCAGAAATAGGAGGGATGGGAAGGAAAGCAGGAAGGCAGGTGGAGGGCAGGAGAGAGAAAAGCACAGGAAATGAGAGGAAAGAAAAAGAGAAGCCCAGCCATCAAGAAGAATGAAGCTGTGCCTTTTGCAGCAACTTGGACGGAATTGGAGAACATTATCTTAAGCAAACTGACTCAGGAACAGAAAACCAAACTCCGCACATTCTCACTGATAAGTGGGAACTAAACTGAGGATCTGCAAAGGCACAGAGAATGATGTCATGGCCATTGGAGACTCAGAAGGAGGATGGAAGTGGGGGGGGTGAAGGGATGAAAAATCACCTGTCAGGTACAGTGTGCACAGGTGGGAGTGATGGGTACACTCAAAGCCCAGACTCTTCCACCACTGTACAATGCAACCATGTAACCAAAACTTGTTGTACCCCCTCACCTTATCGAAATAAAGTAAATAATAAAAAGAAATAAAGGGGAGAGCAATCAACTCCAGGGTCATCACAACCCAACCACTCCAAGGCTGTACAAAGGCCACCAAATCCCCCATATCCTTGTGATGTTTCCAAAAAAAAAGGAGTAGTCTAAAATGTTTCTCATCATTTGTTTTCTTATGCGACAAACCTTTACTGAGTGATGACTCTGTGCCATTGACTGTGTTAGGCGCTTGAGAAAAGCAGTGGACAAGCATAGGCAGGCTCTCAGCTCCCAGGGGCTTGTAACCCAGTGCCATGGGATTTGTACCCTGCCCATCTATAACCATCAATGCAGTGACACACCTCCTCTCATATAGGGAGAGGATCCCAGGAGTTCTGAGTACTTAAGCAAGCACTTCCTGAGCACTAACTCTGTGCCAGAACTGACCTCACCACTGAGGATACCAAGACACAGGAGACACTGCCCCTTTATGGGTGACACATGGTAGTAAAAACACTGTTGAGCATTTATGATGTATAGGCCGTTTTTAACAGCATGAATACTTGGGCTCAAAGGCTGAGTTGGGTCTTGCCAGGCAGAGAGGAGAGAAAAGCACACTTCAGGCAGAGGCAGCCGCCACTACAAAGGCAAGGAGGAAAGGAAGAGCTCGCGGTGCCTGCCGACAGGATGCTCTCAAGCTAGGGATGCTCGGAGCGCCATTCGAGAGGAGGCTGGACCGGAAGAATCAGAGGCAAGTTGAGGGGTGATGGGAGGAAAGGGCTTGATTCTCTCATATCTGTGAAATCTGAAAATACAGCCCCCACGTCCAAGGTGGACACACCTCTCCTTTAGTCTGTTGAACTCTGGATAGAGGATCTTCTCATCCTGGAGATCCTTAGCAACAATCTGATTGTTGTTCATTGAGGCAAAGGCGAATATCAGATGAGTACAGAGAAAGGGGTCCAGGTCATGAGGCAAGATTGAGGCGGGGCCTGGTCGATTAGGTGCCCAGTTGGTGAAATAACACACCAGTTTGTAGGCAG